TTCAAGTCTAATAAGATATTGGCCTTATTATCATCTAATTATTATTAGCCTAAGATGTCAAGTCAATTGTTAAAATTTATGAATAGTTGTATTACATATGAGTGACCTGAGGGTTCTTTCATTAATATTGGTTTGCCCATTTCTTTGTCCATACTAGATCCTCATTAGTTAGATGTTAGCATAAATTTTATGTTAGGTTTGCCTTGCATCCAACATGTTTAAGAATCTATTTTGGTGATATTAAACAAATTTTCTAAGATAGTCTATTTTCTTGCTTTTAGAAAAATCATGGATCTATATAGATTACTCATCTTTACTTTTAAAAAATGGTTCCTTTATATGGGGTTTTGAGGCCCATTACTTATAACTAAGATATCAAGTTTATAAGCAACTTATATAAGATTTTATTGAATAAGTTGAGAACTCAATTGGATTTTATCAATGCTTATCATCTTTAAACAAATAGACATGAAGAAGTGGTGAATTAAAGATTAAGGAATCTAATATAGAGTTTAGTAGGAAACAAACCACATAAATGAGATCTTACATTGTTAATGAGTTTGCTAATAACATATCTAAAAAACAAACCACTGAGGTCATTTTTGAGGTTGATGACTTGACATGGGTAATTTTTACTCATATTTTGTTTCATGTGAGTAGTGTAAAAAGATTCGAGAAAGGAAGATTAGTCTTTGTAAGATGTTGCAGAAAATCAATTATAATGCCTACAAACTTTGTCTTCATATATATCTAAAGACCTTTAATATCTTTAACATGTAGCATTTATTCCCATGTTTAATGGATGGTTAGAACTCGATGACAAGAATATGAATTTGTTACAATTAGACCATATACAAATCTAATAGACTTATGTATGGATCAAGTGGGCAACTCCAAGCCCAATAAGAGATTTGGTCATGTCAAATAATATTTTTAATAAAAATTGATGTTTTTTTCCCTGGCAATTGGATTAAGTTTAAATGTTTCCTTGAAATCTTACAAACCTTGTTTTATAATGAATCAATTGGTTATAACTATTCGATTTCAGGTCATCAAATTAGGCCTAGAATATGTTTTTTTTTTCTTATTTCATTTTAGATTTTGGCTTTTAATTTTCTTATTTTTCTATAGTTCATTTTTTTTTTCTGGTTAAGGTCGATATTTGCAGAAGAATTTTATTCAAAAAATAGTAGTGTAGTTAGGGTTCTTGTTTAGCCTATTTTGTGAATTTTATCTTTGTGTGTCCTATGAATCCAAAAATATTTAATTCAAGCTACATCACTTATTTATCAATCAATATCAAAATATTTTAATTAATCAGATATAAACACCAAACCTTTATTCAAAAAGGGAAAAATCTAATATGCATGGAAGTAGACTCCCACAAAAAAAAAAATGAGGCAAAAAGAAAGAGAATAATAAAATCTCATAAACATTTAGATCTACACAAAAACCTAGATTCACTTACAAAACATACTAATGATGTAATATAAATAAAAAATTATATCTTTATTAAAAAAAATCTAGATCTATATAAAAAAACCTAAAGAAAAAGAAAAGGAGGTAGAGAAGGAAAAAGAAAATAGAAGAAAAGGAAAAAAAAAAGAGTTGTGTTGGACACTTACCAAAATAAAGATACAACAATCCTTAAATAAATAAGGATGTTTTATATTATCATGTAACATTAAGTCTATTTAATGAAACATTTACTTACAACTTATTTGGAACCTTCTCATTTGGAATTTACAATTTATTTGGAACCCTATGAAGTGAATTCATTTTAAGGGATTAAATCAATTTGTATGTTTGAAACTATTTTAAGGATATTGATTTAAATTCTAAATAGAATTTAATTTATAAAAAAAAAAAGTAAAAGTAAATAATAAGAGAGACTCTCTGATTTGCTGCAATAACTTTTTATTTGAAAAAAATAATTCAAAAATAGTCATTTTAATCGAAATCCTATTTTAAAGAGAGAGGAAGAGGATGAAGTCAGTGGCATGAATGTTGGTATCAAATAAGATGCAGAAGTCAATGATAATGGCGATTGACAAGCTGTTACACCATAAATTCTACAATCGATACGTCAATCAAACCTCTAAATTTATAGCTTACAAAAAAACCAAGCTTTATAATATCAGTAATCAAATCAGTCATGTCTAACTCTACTTTTTACTTTTCTATTTTCTTCTCCTTCTCCTTTTTCCTTATGCTTCTTCTTCATTTTCTTATTATTATTAGTCATAATTGATTGATTAATCAAACAAATAAAGAAATTAAATTATGAAAAAGAAAAAGAAAATGAGAAACCTTTAAATTTTTTGAATCAATGCTATTGGGTGGATCATATTAGATTGGATCATTAAATGTTATTTAGCAAATATAAGAATTGGGTTGTTGCTGAAATCCTCGAGAAAGTATTTAACTTTAGTTTTCCTTTTTATTTTATTTGTTGTTATTTATTTCACCTTAAAAGTTAATTTTAGTCACTAAAATCAAACAATTTTTATTTTTATAAATATATCACGTGAACACAATTTATTTATATAAAATATAGAAGGAAAAATTTAAAGATAAATCACAATATTCTCTTTGAAGTATTATGAAACAAAACTAAATAAAAAGATCAATTACTATTTTAATAAAAAGTGAAAAAATTTATTTAAAGAAGAATATAAAATGTATTGATCAAGATTTAAATAAAAAAATAATGTAAAATAAATAACATAAAAAATAATCGAGAATGTATTAATTAAAATTTAAATAAAAAGTTAATAAAAAACTAAAAAAGTGAGATGTTTTTATGACTCGGAGGATAAGACTACACATTTAGCTATTTTCCTTTTTTCCTTTTGATTTTTAAAAGAGTGGATTACTCATTATTTACACTTGTTTTTTCAATCGATGACAAATCAACTTCTATAATAAATTGACTTATTATCTTTTGCACTAATCATAGGTTACCTCCAATAACCAAAAAATCGCATCATGTTTTTGAATATTAAAAATTTATTTTTAATTTTTTTTCACTTGAAAACATTAAAAAAAAAAAAACTAGAAACCTTGACAAACTCATTTTAAACCTCAAAACAGCCTCTAATCTTTATATATAAAAAAATGAAAAACATTTAAGGATTTCAATCTACTTTTTCAAGCATGATGATTAAAGGACAATACTATCTTTATTGAACTCTTATTGAAAAGACAAACCCATTTATATTAAGATAAGTTTTGTTAATAGATAGAATGTCGACATCCATTCACTTTCTCTCCACAATATTTTTTGAAATTGTTCTCTCTTCTCTCTTAGCTTACATGGGCTTAAATAAAATAAATAAATAAAGTTTAGAAATAAAATGTAAAATTCTAAAATAATAGTTACCAAATAAATAGGTAAACTAAACCTTTAGGGAGTAAATTGAAGTTTTTGGTGATAATATCCAATTGGAGTCTTTTTTTTTAAAAAAAATATCATTCTTTATTTATTTATTTTAACTATCAATAAAGTTGTATTTTGAAAAATTCAATTTTTAATTCATTATTAAAATATTTCTCAATGTTATTTTTTTCATATGCATGCAAATGCAAATAAAAATATAAATAAATGTATAAAATCATATAACTTGAGATAATAAAATTACAAATAAAAAAATTTTGATGATCAAGTTGTGTTATTCAATAGCAATGAATAATTGAAGTGGGTCCGGAGATAATGCTTAATATAACTGTTCCTTTTTTCAAGTATTTTTTTTAATATATTTGATAATTAATTATAAAAATATGTTTAAAAAATTAATTTATTTATAATATTTGTATTATCTAATTTGATCCATAATTAGTTAAAAATGGATAATTAGATTTGCTTGACCTATTTTAGAGATTGTTTGTTTAGGATATTGCATATACCTTTGAAACAAAATATATGAGCAACTTGTTTAGTAATGCTAAAACATAGTTTATTATGCATTTAGAACCATATAAATTTTATTTAAACTGCAGGTTTATGAAAAGCAATTTTCAACTACTTCTCTCAAACCTGCAGTGTCTAGTAGAGTATGACCCCACTATTCACGTGAACAGTGAAGTCACTCTTTATTGTTTTGGTTAGACCGAGTTCAGTTTAAAGTTAAATGCATTGAACCGGGTCTGACTCAGTAAAAAAATTAATTTTTATTCTTTTAATTGTTTTTTATTTAAAAAATTAGAAGCATATTGCTTGATGAAGTAGTATTTGCAGAATTTGATCGCAATTCTAATTTTGTTTTTGATAATATTTTACTTGATATTGTTGCGTGCTTAAAAAACTAAGAAAACTGTAATCCTTGTCGGATGGATTTTATACGTAATGAAATTATAGATCATTTAATGAAATAACAAAAAAATATTTGATGGTTTTTAATTTCAATTATTATAGATTCAACTACATAATAAAATAAATAATAATGTTATCAAATATTTTTATTATTATTTCATTAAATGATCTATAATTTCATCATGTACAAAATAGATCATTTAATTAAATAATAATAAAAATATTTGTTATCAGTATTATTTATTTCATTATGTAGTAACAGTAGTTAAATCTATAATAATTAAAATTAAAAACCATCAAATATTTTTTAATTTAAATATTATAAATTTAACTACTGTTACTACATAATAAAATAAATAATACTGATATCAAATATTTTTTTATTATTTCATTAAATGATCTATTTTATACATGATAAAATTATAAATCATTTAATGAAATAATAGTATTATTTATTTATTTATTTATTTATATATATAATTCTTTTAACTAAATAGGTGGCATTAATTTTTATTTAACCTTAATTTCAATTATATAAAATAACTTATTTTAAATCAAAAATACGTTACGAAACAAATAATATAATGAAAGCGGATATTGCGATTTTATTCTGTTTTTAAAATCTACCTGCAAGGCTACACGTCGTTTATAAATATTTACGACATGTCATCTCTGACTTATAGGACGCAGATATTAGAGTGTGGCTGGAGCCAGAAAGGAGCAGCGAAGGCAAAAAATGGCGCAGTATCTCAAGCTTCCCATTATTTTCTCACGCTCCGCCTGTAGTACTGAAAATTCAAGCTTGCTTCTCTTATCCAGATCCTACCACTTCCATCACTACTACGCTTCTAAATTTCCTCCAGGTTTTCTTCTCTTTCGCTCTTTCCCCATGCATTACTCATTTGCATCTTTCCATGCAGTCAGTAATTTTCACAAACACTTGGAGGCTTCATAAATTAACATCATAAGAAAGGGAGTTTTTCTTTTATCATGATGACCCATTAGTCTTTTCCTTAATGTTGTTGCTGTTGATGATGATGATGATTATTTATGGGACGGGTGTTTGATTTTCTTCAAATTGATTTCGCTAATTGATGAAAAGAAAACTAAAATAACAGACTTGTTCATTTCTGAGCTGCAGCTTCTTAACATGCATTATCATTATTGTTGTTGTTATTTCCTTTCTTGAACTTTCAGTTAGATGGGTCAAACCAGAAATGCACTGTAGTCCAATTAGAAGCTTTGCTGCTGCTCCTGCTAAGGCTGGAAAGCTTCAACTACCTAAAAAGTAAGCTAAGCCATCCTTCCTCTTCTCATTGTGTTTCCCATGTTATACTATACATGCATTTCCATGCTTACTTCCCATTGCTTTCGCTTGCTTGCTCAGCTTGTTAATTTTATTCATGCTTTTATCCATCATATTAAGTGCTTATAAGAAACAGGAAATAGCATTAAACTACGATTTTTTTCTAATTTAAACACCATGTATTCAGGAATCAAGAAAGGACAGTAAGTTGTGCAATTAGTGTCGGAACTTGTCTCAAAAGTTCTTTTATATATTCTTTTCATTGTTTCACTTTTTTTACTTTTGACAATTTCAGGAAACGGAGGCTGGATGAAATATGTCTTGAAAGGTTCCAGCAATACAGCCGAACATTTATACAATCATGGATATTACAAGGTTAGCCATATTCTTGAATTGGTGATCACCTCAAGTTTTTAGTCCGCTGCAAGCTAAGCAATCGAATAACCTTTTTCATTAACTGGTGAAATAACTTAATTGTATTATCAACATTCTCTAGCCCTATGATTTAGTTACTTTGACAAGGAAGATGTTATAAATCCAGTTTTTCTCCCATGAATATTATGGGAAACAAATACCTGGTATGGATTTTAGCTAATGTAAGTCTGCTGCAAAGTGTTGTTATTGTTGCACATTACTAGTTCCCTCTGTATGAGCATGGCAATTTGTGTTGCTTAATAGCTGAGTTTGTTCTAAACTACGTGTAACAGTGTCATGTCTGAGAGATAGCCTGCTTTGTAAACTCAATTTTCATTTATCATCGTAATATTAAGCATAGTTGATGTTGGGAGTTTGAGTTTAACAGTTTGATATGTTTTGGTGTAGGTAAAGTATTTGTGGATGGAAAGGTAGTGAACAAAGCTGGCACACCTGTGTCTGAGAAATCTGTTGTTGAGATAATTGCTGAAGTTCCAAAATATGTATGTAGGTGATTAACCCCCCCCTGAAACAACTCGTAATGCAATTTGAATACATGAAATTCCAGTCTGCAGTAAATTTGGTCAGGGTTGTGAGGCTTGAAGTCTTGAGCTTTACTTTTTGGTTTGCTAATCCAGGGCAGGATATAAACTAGAAGCTGCCATTGAACAACTGGATGTTGATGTAGCTGGCAAAGTAGCTCTGGATTCAGGATTGTCCACCGGAGGATTTACTGATTGCTTGCTTCAGTATGGTGCATCATTTGTTTATGGAGTTGATGTAGGTTATGGACAGGTATGAAAACCTTTATTTTTCATTATAGCAAATTTATATGGACTTTTGTTCTTGAAATGATGGCGTAGCTGACCTTTAAACAGGGAACTCTTAATGGTAAGATCATGACTTTTGTTGCTCTATAAATGATGGTGTATGCAACCTTTAGACATCAAAGTCTTGTTGGTGGTTTCTTAGTGGCTGTTGATAAATATTTACAGTGACTTCCACATCAGGTGGCAGACAAGATACGTCGAGATGAACGTGTTTGTGTGATAGAAAGAACAAACTTAAGATACCTCTCTGAACTCCCCCAAAAAGTTGATTTGGTGACTCTGGACCTCTCATTCATCTCTATTCTCCTGGTAAGCCTTCAAACATTGGTAAAATATTTTCTTGCTATATTTACAGATTTTTGACTGGTTTCATTCAACCACACTTTTTTTCTCCTTTCATGGGAGAGGCCTCTTTAGTCCAATGTTGTGTTATACCTTCTTGTGGTGCTTCAAAGACTTTAGTTATTTTTTCAGGTCATGCCTGCTGTAGTCAATGTCATGAAGGAAGAGGCAACGTTAGTGACCTTGGTTAAACCTCAATTTGAAGCTCGCAGATCTCAAGTAACAAAAGTAGAATTTTAATATTCCTGTCTTTTAAATTTTAACTGCTATCCAATTGTAATCCAGATTATTGTTGAAAATTGAATCTATGACACACTTGAAAGAAAACCTTTCTAATTTTTTTTGGTAATAATGCTTTAGGTTTGCCTTTTTTTCTCTAAAAAATACTTTTAAAGACTTCTTTAGGTTTACCTTTGTTCATAATTGTCTTCACCATTCAATTATGGCTAAAGAAAGATGTTTCAAATTAGTTAAATCTGGTTATTTTTTCTTGGAGAACCATTTACAATAAAGGTGAGAAGTTTAGGCTTTGGCTTAAGATTTCAAATTCCAATCAAGCAAGAGCACTAGCATAGCAGCCTTTTGCATAGCCCAATTTATGCCCTTTTTTTATCTTTTATTTTTTTACTAGAATTTGCCACATAATGTAATAAACATTACAGCAGACTTAAGTGGAAGGAAGTATTAAACATGCCTTGGTGGTGGAGTAGTAGTATCCTAATTTTTTTTCCTTAGTTTTTTTTATGTCATGACCGCCGGTCTACATCGGTTAGTAGTACTAGTAGTGTACATGATATACAATGAGCCGGCTGTTTTATGTTTGAATAACACTTTCCAATAACTTTAGTTGCTTTTACGAATGACTGGCTATATGTGGACTCGTAGTGTGCCTTTTTCTTAGGCTTGAGTTGATACAAATGGTCTTTTCATTGTATTTTGCGAGTTAGCCATTGTTCTTTCTTGGGAAACACAGTTTAATTATCATCTCCAGAATAAATAATTCATAGTCCCTTCTCAGGTAGGAAGTGGCGGGATAGTAAGAGATTCTCAAGTCCACCAAGAGGTATGCATCCCTCAGGCCATCACTGAATCTTTCATTTGCTTGGGTTTGGCAACATGATTCTCAAGATTTTCAATTCACAACATATATATTTTCCAAAAATATATCTCAAGATTTTCAATTTACCATGGATTGTAATAGTAAAATGATGTTTATCCCTTTCCTCAAATCAGGTCAGAAAACTAAGTCCAGGGGTAATATAGTCTTTTCTATGTGATCCATTTTTCACTCTCATTTTTGGTAGGGATACGAACATATTTTCTTTTTCTTTTTTTTAGCAATGAAAAATGGAGCTGTTTTCCAACTTATAATTGCTATTTTTTTTTTTGTTTTTGTATGTTTGATTTTTTTTTTAAAAATAATTTAGTCATTCAATCATGGGTTTAATGGGTGAACATAGGTTGATATCATTTGTTTTTTATTTTCTTTGTTTTCATAATTAGCCAAAAAAAATTTCCTTTTTAAAACATGTTTTTGTCAGCTGAATATCATTTTTGTCTTCAATATTTTTTTTATCCAACTTACATTGAGTGTATTGTATGACAAGAATGATCACTACTGGCCTTCTATATACATGGCAAAAGTTGGCAGAATGTATTTGGAGTAATATCTTATATGATATTGTCTATGATTTATATGGCCAAAACTCTAATAAATTTGCTTCTAGACTCACTGGACAATTGAGATAATTCACAAAATAAACAAGAGTAGAAATTACATGATAGTGCTAAGCAAAAATATGGAATGAATTTGCTTCTAATGTGTAGGTTCTTGAGAAGATAACAAAAGGCGTGGAGGGCTTTGGATTCCGTAGCAATGGTTGTATTGAGTCTCCTCTAAAGGGTGCTGAGGGTAACATCGAATTTCTTGTGCACTTCAGTCGAATACATGAAAATAGTGCAGAATGATTACTACTAGCATGAAAAGAAAGACCTCGCATTATGCCAGGACCCTATGGATGAATTATTTTCCATGTGAAGTTCGTTCACTCTCACCTTACAGAAACAAGAATCCATGGCTTCTAATGTATGTAAATTACATCCCAACTATTTATTGAAAGCACAAGAAATGCAAGACGTGATGCTATCACTCCATCTCCTATGACCTTAATTATGTGATTTTCTCGCACATGGTACAGTTGATTTGTTTTTGTTTTTTGCCTACTGCTGGTGAGGAGTCCAGTTTGTCAAGCTCTATGAATTCTCCACCTTTCTGATGTAAATCTTGCTCTCCTGCGTCTGAGACAACTGACAATGTGTTCGATTTACAACTTAATGCATGTAATCTCTTGTAGAAAAACTACAGCCTTACAGTTGTAAAAGACAATTCTTGAATAAACCTTTACAGAAATATTTTGTTTATGAATTGAGGTTTACAGGTCTGCCATCTTTCAATCATCCATAGCAGTCACCAAGATAGACAAACACTAAAAAACGATTTCTAGGATGTCGATGAAGAATTTAAACTATGGAACACAAGAAAAACAGCCTCACATGGGACATAGGAATCGTCAAAATTGGATCAAAGCTCACTGCAAGAGTAGTAATGCACTTCTTTAAGCCATGTACTTATGAGTTCATTTTTTGTCCGAAGCATTGCCGTGATTACACTGATTTTTTCACCATTTCTAGGGGGGTCTTGAGACCAACCACCTGCCCAACGACCGAGAACCATGACACCAGATATAGTTCAATGGCCAGTCCATTCTTAGCTGCAACCTCATCGCCAAGGCAAAGCAACTTCATCCATTCACGGGTCCCGCATGGATGTAATTTGTACCATGGCCTATTCAAGAATGGATGCTCCTGAATTGATAACATTCAACGAGTTACCATTTCCAAGTCCCTTGCATGAATTCAACAATTAAACACAAGTCTTTCTCAAGAAGAATTGTCATGTAATGCTTGATCAATATCCAAAATATATACAGAAGCAGCTACTGAATAAACTTAGTATGTTATTCCTCATTATCAGGAGAGGCAAACTGTATGCAGTCAGTGCCCAAAGTCGTCGAATCCATGTGTATTATTCCTTCAATGTTCGCATCGTGGGACACCAGACAAGTGTAGATTTCATCATATAACCACTTGCGATATATCCATGAAATAAAAATGCTGCCAGTTTGATAGAGCTAAAAAATTTCAAAGATTTCTGTGAATCAACTGATGCATTCCTTGATTATACAAAATCATGTGTGGTACCCCCAACCCGTGCAAACATGGAATCTCTCTTAAAAAAGGGTCTCCTCGTTCATCCTACCAGAAACAAGGATCATATCTATCTAATGGTTTTGCAGCAATTTAACAAACAAACAAAATTAGAGAAAATCAGAACACAAATGCAGAGTTATGATAAGATAATTGAGAAGAAAAAAGAAGAAGAAAATGCACCTCCTGAGTTATGAAAGTCCACTTTGTTTCCAACAACACCTTCGAGGAGCAAGCTGGAAGGTCCTTTTCAATTTCATTCAACAGCAACGGCCTTCCATCTATACACTCAACAAAAATCAGCATGTTCAAACAACTCATGGACATCACTGTGAAAACAAGCATGGACACAATGGCTTAATTCCTCTGTAATTTACAGCTTGAAGCCTAGAATAATATCAGCCCAACATTTAGACTTGATCAGTTCGTTGAATTAGCTTTAATTAGATTACGTTGGATCATTTAAGATCAGTGACCGTAAGAATAGTTTGGTAAAGAGTCAGATGGAAGACATAACTCCAGATACCAAGATGTTCACAAAATTTAAGAGGTGTGCGTGCATATACATGTATGTCCATCAGCATAAAGAAAGAGAGAAGCACATACCACTGCAGTATGCACGGAAATATAGCACAGGAACCCTGTATGAAGCGCTATATACTATATGAAAATCATAGTAATGCGCTTCATGATGATTGCTTTGAACCTGGCAGCAAAGGACAAGAACAACATCGATAATGGCAAGAAGATGAGAGTGAAAAGGGGGATAATTGTAACACATAACTTCCACAAGAGCAAGTTTCTAGATACACAAGCTTAAGCCTGTATGAAGAAACAGTAACATAGACATTGACTATCTGAGGAAGGAGGAAGGAAATACAAGTGTGGCACTATCAGCTGCCCCTTCTATCTCAGAGAAACCAGCCTCCTCTTCCACAGTGCAACTTACTTCTTCATTATTATCCTGTAAAAAAAAAAAATCAATAACAATTTCTGGGGTTAAACTTCAGGAATTAGAGGTTCATTACATGATGAAGACCAGAGCAGACCTCAGCTGAGACAAGAACACACATGTTCTCCAAAGACAAGTATCCATCCACCTGGGAAAAGAAAGGAAAGACAAAACAAACAAAAAGTAAGAGAAGCAAAGGAGGAATTGAAGGTTAAAAAGAAATCGATAAGAAAGAAAGAATAGCAACATGTTGAGAAGAAGCAAGGAAAGGAGGTCCTTTTGGAGAATTGACCCAAAACCATGAAGGGGAAGAAGAGTTATTCCTCTCCCATCTCTCGGTAAAAACGCGAGCAGCAACAGAGAAATCATTCGGCGAGAGGGTTCCATCCCAAGACGAAGAAAAACAACTCATGATTTTGCCCACTTGAGAAGATGTTTTTGCAATATATAAACAAACGACCATTGATAGAATAGGCAGGCGACAATCAATCAAAGACTTGATTTATTTTTTTTTCTCTAACAACCAGTAATATTAAATATTTTTTGATCAAAAAAAATATTTAAAAAAAAATATCAGGAAATCCACGGTTACAGGGAAAAAAAAATTAAGAAAAATAATAAGAAAAAACATGAGTTGTTAAATCATGATTTTAATTTGTAAAATTGAGGAGTCTATTTAAGAAGAAGAGGACGCGAACCCATTGCCATTGCTGTATCAAAAGGACAATGAAAGCTACTAAAATTCTTGGTGCCAGGCAATGGAGCGAACATAGTGCAGTTAATTACAGAGAATCATTTTGAGTAAAATAATATTTTTTTATGTTTTTAAAATCTAGAAATAATTTTTTTTAATATAATTTTGATTAATTTATAAAAAATTATTTTGAAAAATAATTAAATTAATTTTTAGTGATTGGTTAGGAACACGATGCAATAAAAAATCAATTTTTTTTATTTATTTAAATTTTTTATATTTTTATATTATTTTGATATTAAAAATAATTTTACAAACTAAAAAAATATTATTTTAACATATTATTTTAAACCACCCAACTTCTAAATACACGCTTGTGAGGATCGAAATGTATAAAACTGGACTGCAGTATGAATCGCAATCTTAGAGAACTGCTTATTAAGAACAATAAAAACACCTTATTCAGACATCTTTGCTTCACAGCTATTTTACAGGATCATATTTATTTCCATGGTGTCAGAAATGCACTGTACGGTAAGGAGATCTGAAATCAATTTCCATACAAGGTGCCCATTGCCCACACTTTGGCTTTCTTCTTCTTCTTCTTAGGCTTCATATCCACAGAAGGTGGCAAAAGAGTTTCCTGTATAAACCAACACAAACCCATGAATAAAAGCAATTGCCGCAGGCAGATTTCTCGATCCTTCTCTTGATCCTCCTCCACATAAATAAGAATGAACAGGCTACAAGTTAACTAAAGAAATACACGTGCAGTGTAAACACACAAATGTGCTCATACAATGAGAAAAGAGAGGCCTCAGTACACACATTGTAATATTGTATGCCTTACGTTTACCTCAAGGGGGCAGCCACGCAGGATTCAAACTGGGAATTGTTTCCTTCTCATGCTCACAAACTGCTATTTTGATTTGGTGGAAATTGATGCAATAAATTCAATCAACAAAACCCGTGGTATTTTCTGAGTGCTGTCTCAGAGAGTTGAAAGCCTGTTCATGCCATGCAGATGCATGTTATCCAATATTCCTCCTAGTTAGTGTTGCAATGGCTACAAGAAATCTATAATTACGGGTAAACAAATCTTAAATCGTCCAGTCTACATAAAAACAGTGCTCTATGAGCAGAAATTAAGATGCAAGCATTCATTGCTAATAAAACAAAAATTTTAGCGTGAAAAATAATAAAAGAACTATTTGCCCGACTCCGCCCCTGATTGCATAAGACTCGTTGAATCCTTTTTTGAGCAACAACTCAGCCAATCGCATGGAATCACCATCAAAACAACCTTACACGCAAGAAGCAGAAAAACACATTAAACTCGTACTGATTCACTCTGTAATTGACATGACAGAAAAATAAATAAGCAAGCAGTGCTTAAAGCTTGTAGCTACATAAAGCAAAAAATTGTAGAGTATTGATTATAGGCGTGGCACTTGTCAAAATACACAAGATGGTATTTGCAGGGTCTCGAAAAATCTCCAAAACATTCTTGAAAAACCCATCTTCGTCTCTCTCAAAGAATTCAATCTCGTCCACACTCTTAATGAACATCTTAAGATTGGGAGACCCCAAAGCGAAGACGCTCCTCCTCCCGAATATCCAAAAGCTGCGCATCGGGGTTATCCCGGAGTTTCCTAAATGCATCAATGGCAGAGATAAACTTGTACTTTCTCAAGTGCTCTTCAGTTAGAGGTATAACAACAAGCCAAATGAATGTGCAGCCAGCTACAAAAAATGGGTTTTTGTTCAAGGAGTCATCCATTGATACCAAGACTGATTCCAGGTTTATTTTTTCTGAAACTTGCTATCTAAAACCCAAAATAAAAAAAATAGTATAGGCCGTCTATTCTAGCTAAGAATTATGAGAATCAAATCGGTCCTAAGTTAACCAAAAAAGTGTACAAGAATATGATCAACCCACACCTAAACACTCTCATCATATTTAAAAGAGGGTACACTCTCATCATATTTAAAAGAGGGTATAAATGCAAGGGGAGGGAAAAAAATGATTTTTCCTCTCCCCCAAAGCCAGCAGCAACCCTATCTGCAGCTGCTTTCTCTCTTGCAAAGAAAATCATCCAAAACAACTTGCATGCCACCTTTTTTGAATGCTTAAGTGAAAGGAGAGTTAGAGAAAGGAAAGAGAACCGAAAACACAAAAGAAAGAAGAACTTATAGGGCTAGCTGGGACAACAGAAGAAGGGGAGAAAAACCGAGAGAAAAAGAAAAAGAAAATCACTAAAACCTTCCCTAAAGCTTGTTTAAAATCGTGTGGTAAGAGTCATATCACTTCTTTGTTTGTTGCTTTAAGATTTCAGGACAAGGGAGAGAGAGAAACCTCAAAGTAAAAGACTTAGGGTTATTACACATATAAATTCAGAAAAGCTAAATGAAAAAGTTGAAATAGAAAATGAAGGGGACACAATTTCAGAAATGAAGGGGATAAACAAACCCTAAGTGATCTTGCTAAGCAACTAGA